ACAAGAATTAACAATCAGTGGTCATTAATATTCCTCAATATTAATGGTCTCAACTTGCCTATGAAAAAGACACAAGCTAAAAGAATGGATACAAAGTCAGAACGCAATCTTTTTCTGCATACAAGAAATGTATCTCAACTTCAAAGACAGACATTAGAGTTAAGGGTTGGGAAAACACTTTCCAATCAAATGAATACAAGAAACAACCAGGTACAACAATAATTATATTTAACTAATTAGATTTTAAACTAAAATCAATCAAAAGACACCAAGAAGGTAATTTCTTATTTATTACAGAAAAAATCCAGCAAGATGAAGTTTCAATATTGAGCATGTATGCCCCAATGCAAAGGCATCCACATTCATAAAAGAAACATTAGTAAAACTCAAGTCTCACATAAAACCTCACACAACTTACAGTGGGAGATTTCAACACTACACTCTCAACACTAGACAGTTCCACCAGACAGAATCTTAACAGAGAAACAAGGGACTTAACAGTAGTTATGACCCAATTGGGTTTAACAGCCATTTATAGAACATTACATCCAAACACAAAGAATATACCTTCTTCTCAGCACCACATGGAATCTTCTTTAGAATCCACTATGTACTCAGCAACATAGCAAACCTCAATAAGTACAAAACAATTGGAATAACCCCTTTATCTTATCAGACCACCATGCTTTAAAGTTAGAATTCAACAACATAAATTTAATAAACACTACAAACTCATGTAAATTGAACAATGGCAATTGTGCCATTATGGCTCAAAGAAGAAATAAATAAAAAAATTAAAAACTTCCTGTAATCAATGAGAATGAAGTCCCAACATATCCAAACTTGTGGGACACTTTTAAAGTAGTTCTAAGAGGGAAGTTCATAGCACTAAATACTCTCATGAAAAACTGGAGAATAGTCACACTAGTGAATTAACAGCACATTGAAATCTCTAGAACAAAAAGAAGTAAACTCACCATGGAGGAGTAGATGCCAGGAAATACTCAATCTGAGGGCTGAAATCAGTAAGGTAGAAACTAGGAAAACGATACAAAGAATTGATGTAACAAAGAGTTGGTTCTTCGAGAAAATAAACAAGATAGACAAAACTTTATCCAAATTAACCAAAATACAGAGAGAGAACATGCAAATTAACAAAATCAGAAATGAAGAGAGAACAGGATATCCAGAGAATCTCCAGGTCATACTTTGAAATCCTGTACTCCACAAAATTCGAAAATTTAACAAAAATGGAAAAATTTCTGGATAGATATCACTTACCAAAATTAAATCAAAACTGAATAAGCAATTTAAATACACTCATAATGCCCAATGAAATTGAAGCAGTCATCAAAATCACCCAACCAACAAAAGCCCAGGGCTAGGAGGTTTCAAAGCAGAATTCTCCAGAAATTCAATGCAGAGCTAATGTCTATAGTCCTCAAATGTGCCAAACTCTTTTTATGAGGCTACAATTATCCTGGTACCAAAGCCACACAAAGACACAAATAAGAAAGAGAACTACAGACCAATATCACTCATGAACATTGATGTAAAAATACTCAATAAAATACTGGCAAATTGAATCCAAGAACATCAGGGAAATCATCTACCATGACCAAGTAGGCTTCATCCTGGGAATGCAATGATGTAATTCACCATATAAACAAACTTAAAATGAAAAGCCTTTAACAAAATCCAACACCCTTCATGATAAGGTCTTGGTGTGATCAGGGATAACAGGAACATACCTAAACATAATAAACACAATATACAGCAAACCAAGTGGCAACATCAAACTAAAGTAAAAGAAACTCAATGTGATTCCTCTAAAATCAGTAACTGATTCCACTCTCTCCATATCTCTTTGATATTGTACTTGAAGTTCTAGCTGGAGCAATTAAGACAACAAAAGGAGATCAAGGGTATATAAATTGGAAAGGAAGAAGTCAGACTTTCTCTATTTGCAGATGATAGGATGGTTTACATAAGTGACCTGAAAAACTCTACCTGGGAAAACATACAGCTGATAAACACCTTCAGCAAACTGGCGGGAAACAAGACTAAGTAATATGTAAGATGATAAATGGGCTGGGAAAAAAATCAGAGAAACATCACCCTTTCTGTTAGCCACAAACAACAGTAGATATCTTGGAGAACTCTTACCAAACAAGTAAAAGACCTATATAATAAGAACTTTGAGTCTTTAAAGAAAGAAATTTAAGAAGATACCAGAAAATGGAAGGATCTCCCATGTTCTTGGATTGGTAGGATCAGTATAATAAAAATGGCAATCTTGCCAAAGCAATCCACAGATTCAATGCAATACCCATCCAGATCCCAGTACAGTTCTTTAGAAAACTTGAAAGAACAATGCTCAACTTTATATGTAAAAACAAAAGATCCTGGATAGCCAAAACAACCCTGTACAATACAGGAACTTCCTGGGGCATCACCATCCCTGACTTCAAACTCTGTTATAGAGCTATAGTACTAAAACAGCTAGGTATTGGCACAAAAATAGACAGGTAGACCAATGGAATTGAGTTGAAAACCCTGATACTAACCCACACACCTACATACACCTAATTTTTGACAAAGAAGCAAAATTTATACAACAGAAAAAAGGCATCTTCAATAAATGGTGCTGGCATAACTGGATATTGGTGTTTAGAAGATGCAGATAGATCCATATATCACCATTCACAAAAACTATGTCCAAATCAATCAAAGACCTCAACATAAACCCAGCCACCATGACCCTCTTAGAATAGAAACTGAGAGGTACCATTGAATGAATTGGTACAGGAGACAGCTTCCTAAACATGACACTAGTAACACAGACACTGAGATCAACAATTAATAAATGGGACCTTCTGAAACTGAGAAGCTTCTGTAAGGCAAAGAACATAGTCAACAAGACAAAACAGCAGTTCAAAGGACTGGAAAAGAGATTCACCAATCCCACATTTGACAAGGGCTGATTTCCAAAATACACAAAAACTCAAGAAGCTAGTTCTCAAAACATCAAATAATCTAATTAAAAAGTGGGGTGCAGAACTAAATAGAGAATTCTCAATGGGGGAATCTAAAATGGCTTAAAGACACTTTAAAAAGTACTTAACATCCTTAGCCACCAGAGAAATGCACCTTATTCCTGTCAGAATGACAGAATGACAGAATCAAAAGCACCAAAAACAGTTTATGCTGGAGAGGATGTGGTGAAAGGGGTTCACTCCTCACTGCTTATGGGAGTGCAAAGTGGTACAGCCACTTTGGAAATTAGTATAGCAGTTCCTCAGAAATATAGGAATCAGTCTACCTCAAGATCATAATTCCTCTTAGGCATATACCCAATAGTTGCACATTCATTCAACAAGAACATCTGTTCAACTATGTTCATATCAGAATTATTTGTAGTAGCCCAAACCTAGAAGCAACCTAAATGCCCCTCAACTGAAGAATTGTTGGAGAAAATGTGATATATTTACACAATGGAGTACTACTCAGCAGAAAAACACAATGGAATACTGAAATAAGCAGGGAAATGTATGTAACTAGAAGAAACCATCCTGAGTGAGATATCCAGTCACAAAAAGACAAACACAGTATGTACTCACTCATATATGCATTTTAGACATAGATTAAAGGATTACTACCCTACAAGTTACACTGCCAGAAAAGCTAGGGAACAAGGAGGACCCTAAGAGAGGCATACATGATCCCCTGGAGAAAAGGAAAGGGACAAGATCTTCCAAGCAAAATTGGAGCATGTATTAAGAGGACGAAGAGTTAGGAGAAAGAGAAGGGGAGAAGAGGAGGGGAGACATGGGCATGAGGAAACAGGAAGTTTGAGACAAGGAAAGAATAGAGGAGAACAAGAAAAGAGCTACCATAATAGAGGGAGCCATTAGAAATTTAAGGAGAAATCTGACACTAGGGAAATGCCCAGAGATCTATTAAGAATCTAAGCAATAGTAGAGAGGCTACCTTTAATGTCCTTCCATGATAACGGGAATGATGTCTTCATCTATTAGCTATTGAAACATAAGCAGACATCCACAGGTAAACACTCTCTGAACTCCTGTAATCCAGTTACTTGGAGGAAGTAGTGATGAGCAAAGGGATCAAGACCAGGCTGGAGAAACCCACAGAATTAGCTGATCTGAACAATGTGAATCTCATGCACCCCCGTCTGATAGCTGGGAAATGAGCTTTGAAGTCACCCAGACCCTGTGAATGTGGGTGTTAGTTAGGAGTACTTGGCAGTCTTTGGGGCCTCTGGTAATGGATCAGTATTTATCTCTGGTATATGAATGGACTTTTGAAACCCATCCCATGCATAGGTATACTTTCTCAGCCTAGACACAAGGGGGAGGGCCTAGGCCCTGCCAAAAATGATATGACAGACTTTGAAGACTCCCCACTGAAGGCTTTACCCTTTCTGGGGAGTATAAAAGGGATAGGCTTGGGTTTGGTGGGGGTGATATGGGAAGATGGGAGGGTGAGGGAACTGGGGTTGACATGTGAAACAATATTTTTTCAAATTTAATATAAAAATGGAAAAAAAGGAGAAAAATTATGTTTAATGTGTTTTAGCAAGAGGTTTCAATATCAACATGGCAGTAACCAGCCCAGAGCCCACAGATCTGGTATGAGCCCAATTAAAATGCTATTATGTCTCTCTTTGTCAAGGATAAACAAGATTCTCTATAATGTTTTAAGGCCTGGAAAGTGCAATACTAGAACCAACGTTTACAAAAGAAAATGACAATTGAAATAAAAGTAATATCCACATGAAACTAGACATGTAGATCAATATAACCCAAATTAGTCCTGTTATGATTAGATGAGGTTTCACTCAACTCAAATTATAATCCACAATGTAATCTGTTTGAACAAATGCTCCATGTCAAGGAATGGCACCAGATGAACAGATTCAGCAAAAGAACAAGGAGCTGAAACTGCGATTCCCTACCATAGAGCCAAAAGTACCTTACCTGTTGTGCCACTGCTGCTGCTAGAGTGCCCCCAGAACTATCTCCTGAAATAGCAATTCGGGTAGGATCTACTCCATATTTTGTAAGAATTTTATCCTGAAGAAAAAACTTGACTGCGGTGATGCCATCTTCAAATTGTGCAGGAAAGTGATGCTGAGGAGCTAGCCTGTAGCTTTAAAACAGAACAGGACAGCATGTGGAGCATATGTGTGCAACAAGGTCTCACACATCTAACACATGAAATTTAACACCCAGTCCTACTGTTCAGCTTTAAAAACTAACCTTTAGTTAAAATGAAAATCAATATAAAGGTATTTGAAAATATGTAATTAAGTCAATTGTTGGCACTATGCCTGAAACTAGCAAATTATTACAAACCCTCTTAGGTTTTAAATAGAATTTTTACTTCAAGTGAAATTTATATTATATTATATATCTTTTTGTGTGCTTTTTTTCTTTCTTTCTCCTTCCTTCTCTCATCCCATATCACCTCTCCCTCTCCCCATCTACTTCTCTGTTTCTATTCTATTCAGATTTAGATATGTCTACATACCCAAGATATGTTTATATCTATTATGTCAAACACAGTAAATTTAAAACAATGCAAACTATAAGGATTAGATGAAATATGTAGCAGGCATAAACTTGTACCATTAAATGAAAATTAATTTAAAATATTCCAATTACTTCAAAATCTCTATAAATAAAAAGGAGACTGTCCCAGTATCACAATCTAGTCATTAATATATTAAGTTCTTTTGGGTACTATAAAAATAATAAACATGTTAGCAGCTATTTCCTTTGAAATATCATCATATAATATTAAAAATATTGGATTCTGATTATGTTTTTCTTACTGTGAACTAATGATAAAATGGAAAAAATCCCTTTAAAACAATGAATTTCATAGGCAAATGCAGATTCAGAGACCTAGAATATATTAACATGAATAAGAAAATGATTGGCTGTCCTAATAAACTCCAGCGTGCATTCTCCAAATACAGAGTATAGAATAACTTTTGAGAGTTTGTTCCACAGATTTTAACTGGTCCCAAACTTCATTGCCTGTTACTCTCGAAATAATAACATTTTAAAACTAAACTTTTTATTCCAAGCCCAAATATGACCAAATATCTCAAGTGTGCAATGATTTAATTTACTTCCTCCTATCTATGTAATGTGGGACACAATTGGTTGATATAGAATCTAAACAAAAGACTCCACAAAATGCTCAACTTACAGTATAATTCAGCTTTCTGCAATTAAAGGGGAATAGTTGGGATGCTGGACTTTGTTAAGGGGTAGTCTATGCAGCAATTGTGACAGATAATATATAGGAACTTTAAAAATTATATTTCAAGGTGTAAATGTATTAATCAGAAATTGAATTTATAGACTGTTAAGGCAAAAATCATACTAATTAAAGAAACTGAACTCTTACTCCATTCCCACAACAACAGCATCAAGTTTGCTTGCAGTGCATCTATTCAGGAAATCAAAAGCCCTCTGTTCTAAAATGAAGAAAGAAAGGTCAAAGTACTCCTTGTAATTTAAAAATTAACACAAATAATGATGCATATCTCTATGAGGAATGGGATTTCAGATTGTTAGACAGGAATCTTTGTTTCCTATCCCTGTTCCCATGCATAGGGCTCTAAACCAAGGTAATAGTCTCAAATCTTTCCCAGAGATGGAGGAATGACTTGTAAATTTGTATTTTAAAAAGAAATTAGGCTTGGCACATTCTAGTTATAACTTGCCCTCTTCTATTAGTCACACAACGACCCTTCTCATATCCCATAGTGGGATATGAGCTCATACTATGCTCTTATCCTTCAGTCTGCAAGTTTTAGACAGTAGAAGATTTTAATTTGTCTTCCTACAGTCTCTACAGCTAGGTCTATAATTAAAGACTACTATCAATAGCTAAACATTACTGCTCAGTTTCTTCATTAGAAAAAGGATCATTTTAACATTCATCTTCATGAATTCTTAGCATAATCACTCAATTGGGTCTTTAAATACATGTGTGCATGCCTTCATATGTGCGTGCATGTGTGTGTGTGTGTGTGTGTGTGTGTGTGTAGATATGTATGTAGATGAGAGATGATAAATAGATAGGTTACAGATGGGTAGATAGATAGGTAATTGGTTGTGTAAGATGACATTACAAGTCCTTACAAACTCTGCTATCTTGAAACACAGTCCAATATATGATACTACAATAATTAGGACATTAACACAAAGTCTAAGGCAGTGGTTCTCAATCTGTCGGTCATGCACCCTTTGTGGCTAAATGATCCTTTCACAAGGGTCGCATATCAGATATTTATATTAGTATTCATAACAGTAGCAAAATTATAGTCATGGAGTAACAACAAAAATAAATTTATGGTTAGGGGTCACTAAAGCATGAGGAACTGTGTTAAAATGTTGTAGATTAGGGGGGTTGAGAACCACTGGTCTCAGGAATGGCAAATCAGTCTTTTAAAGATCTTTTTGCAAGTTATTGTAAGGTTGTAAGGTTTAGATGTGCAAATAGGACACATTTATCTTGAGTCTGTACCTACCATATGTGTGTGTGTGTCTGTGTGTGTGTGTGTGTATGTATGTATGTATATGTATGTATATTAACCTTGAATAACTGAAGAAAAATTCTAGAACTGCATAGCAATATTTTCTTTAAGACTTTTAGAAAGCATAGGCAGGAACTGACACAGACCATCAGCTTTTAATCTACTGAATTCTGTTGCCATTCGTGAGAGGCAAGAACGTACACTTAATTTTCTTTATATTATTGAAAATTCATCACCTTTTCCAAAAATGGGGAATATTGGTTATTCAAATATTATGTGAAGTTAATAAAAATATTCATATACTACTTTGAAATTACAACTCCATTACTTTGCTTGTTTTTTATATATTTACTTTTTAATCAATTGTATATGTCCCTTATAAGTTTTACAAGAGTCCAGCACAGAATCTGGACTTCATGGATAGGGCTTGTTACTCTGAAGTTCTGTATTGTATTCTTCCCTTAGTACCAAGTTAATCAACTTCCCTCCAAGCTATACTGTTACTGTTATTGTAACAAATTACAAGCTCCCTCTTGTAGCAAGAACATGTGCTTCTGGTGTGTGTTCTATCAATGTTACAGCTGCTGAAAATGTCCTGAGCCCCAGGAGAAAACTCCATAGCAATTGACCTGTCCATGTAACTTTTAGATGTGGTTTATCTCACATGAAAGATGAAAATAAAATGCTGTCTGTGGTAAGTGATTGATCTGGGGCTCACTTGCTAGGATGCTCTTTCAGGTTTCAGGATCCCCTGAATATGAACCCCTGCACTGCAAACTCCAGGTGTGAGGAACATGCCTACAATCCCAGTGCTCAAGAAGTTGATAATAATAAGTAAAATGCTACCACCAGTTAAATGATGAGTTCCAGAGTTCAGACTTGAAATAGATGAGTTCTTATCACAAAAACAAAAGGAAACAAGTGTTGATCAGTACAGAGCAAACCCTGCAGTGGAAACCTCTATCAGGTCACTCACCAAATACATCTAACTGTACTTATCATTATGTTGGATGTCTAATATGTACATTTCTATTAAGCATGCCCATATAAGCATATGTGAATATACCAAAACTTGTATATTACAAGCATGCAGCCATTTATTCTTTATCCTTCTGTGAAGAACTTACTGAAACTTCCAAAACAAAAACCCCCGCCATGAAAATAGATCACAGCCCGTCTTGGGGCTTCCGACTTCCTCTTGGGTAAGTACAAACGCACAGGGATGTCAACAAAGTCCGTATCAGTTACTGTGACATGTTCATCTGAAAATGGTTGTGTATAGTCCAGACTGATTATCATGGAAATAAACTCTTCATATCTCATAACACCCATGTTTTCAAGACACAGAGCCTATAAAAGCAAAACAAAATATGAAAATAATTCAACATTAAATCTGTAATACCAGATAAATATGAAGAAGTTTAGAAAAAGAAAATTGAAAAAAAAACCACAAAGAAACCAAACAGAAATTATAAATTTATCTACAAATAATATTGTGAACATCCTATTGCCTGACCCTTGTGCCTTTGAAAATTTCAGGTGTTTTAGATTAAATATCATTCATAAAACATCTTTACTTACTTTTTAAAGACTTTTTGTATTTTTCTCAATTATTATTCTTATTAAAAATTCTTTCTTATAATCCTTCTAATTTTGAATGTTGTCATACTTTCCATCTAAAGTCATTTTTATCTAATTCTATTTTTAAATGCCACCAAATGATAACATCATACATGATCTAAATTTGCTGGGTTTTTTTATTCTAAATTATTTAGTGTCCCTCTGCCTATTTCTCAAAAAAAAAAAAAAATTCCTTGATTTTAGTGCAAACACTTCCTGAGATTAACTAACAAGCTTACCTAGGAACTGGGAAATTTGCATAAGGAACAAATCTTCAAACTCCACATGAGGGAGTTATGAGGGAAACGTATGCAGAAAACTAACTGCAGCCACACATGTCAAGTCATTCCCAAATATGTGAAAAATTCTTACTAACTCACAGAGACTGGAGAAGCATGCATGGCAACTGCATGGGTCTGCTCCAGGCCATCTGCACGTATATCATGGTTTCCAGCTTAGAGTTTATGTGAAATTCATCAGTGTGTGAAGGAGTGGGTCTCTGGGTCTTCCTTTAAGCTCTTTTCCCTCTGTTGGTTTATATTGTGCAGCAGCTTCTATGTGGTAGCTTTTGTTTTTATCTTATTTAGAGTATAGGCTAACAACTGAACTGTCACACTTGCTGGGAGAAGAAAAACCAGTTTTCTCCAGTGGATAACACACAGTGGGTACATTATTCACTCCAGAACAGGCCTTATATTCAGGACAAGTTGACCAACATATAATGGACTCCATAGTCTCTTTGTGAGCTTTTATATGGTTACAGTTTGGTGGTTATTTTGTTTGCTTGTTTTGTTTTATTATTTATTTTCTTTTTGGATGTTACTGTATTTGGTTGTCTACATAAGTTTTGGGGGTTTTATTATATTCAGTTTTGAGTTTGTTTTATTTTATTTCTATTTGTATTTATTTATTCTTCAGTCATAAAGCACATCCTCTTTCTATGCTCCTCCTAGCTCACCTCCACCCCTCTTCTTCTAAAATCCACTTCTCTGTTTTCCTTCAGAAAACAACAGGCCTTCGAAGGATACTGGGTTTGTTCCTTGAGAAATAACTTAAGAGTTGGCTGGGTAGGTAGGAAGAGATTATGAAGAACTTGGTGGAGGGCAAGAACATTGCCAAAATATATTTAAGTTTAAAAATTATCTTAAATAAAAAAATATATAATAATACAAATAAAAAAGAAAAGTACAGATTGATGTACTGTCATAAGTTTTTTTAAAAAAAAAAAACATTCAGGCAATGATAAAACCAATGATAAATTACTTACTGAGCTCTACTAGAGTTTAGATGAATCAATATTTCTAGTCTATATAGAAGAGTGCAGTTCAAGCTAACATTTATCAAATATTGCCTTATTATTGAAGTATTCTTTATTCTAATAACTAAGATGTCTTAGTAGGCAAAGGTACTGACTTCGAATCATGAACACCTAGAAAAGCCACGTGGGGAAAGAGGAGAGCTGACTCTTAAACAATGTCCTGTGAAATGTACACTTGCTTTGGCATGTACCTTCATTCCAACACACACACACACACACACACACATTAATTGGTTAATTGATTAATTAAAATGTAGTAAAATAGTTCTTGAGTATTTTCTTACTAATTAAGCATTATCAAATAGATAACACATTAATATGAATGCTTAAGAAATGAATGTTTTCACATAATTTTTCATTCAGTGAATTTGCTTTTTAAAATTAAGATTTTATCAATGGCCTTATTTCTTTTATGTGAACATATTATGTGTGTAATTTGATGCTTAAGCATTTTAAGACTATAACAAAACTTCCAATGTAAATATTATCACACATTATTGTAGCATGCCTGGTATTTTAATATACAGAACAATTCTGACAACTATTTACAATAAGTATTCTCACATATAGGTTAATTGGTATAATGTATGTTACAGGAATTTTCTCAAGGTTATATGTGAGTATTTTACAAAACCCTTCAAAAATACCTTATGACTGCACAATAATGCACTTTGCTTTTTCAGTGCTATATTATGAAGAACTTTAGTTTTCGCTTTCATATGTTAAAAATCAACAGTTGTTATTGACCTTGCAATCTTGAATTATAAAATACAGTGTTAAAATTGCCAAAGATTCTAAATTTGCTAGGATAAACTTTAATTATGCCTTTGTTTTGTTTATTATCATTATAGAAGTACAGGAAAATAATTCATCATGTAAAATATATAAAGTATGTATTTTCATTGTAGATAAGTGATGATGGCTGAAAACATTTGGAGCTGAGAAAGTAACAGCAACATTTTAAAGTGGGGTGTTCTGATAATGTTGTGATGTTGATGAAAACATGGGTTTAAATCCAGAGTTTATCTGTGGAGCTGATATGGACTTGCTCATCTATTCATCCATTTACTTCAGTCAGAAACCAGTGCATTTGAAAAAGAGACAATTGTGGGGAAAGTAAGAGTCATATATACATATATGTGTGTATGTATGTATGTATATCATATGTATGTCTATGTGTGTATGCATATATATGTACATATACACGCAATTAAAGCATATTTTACAGTGCCCAAAGTACCATCAACTATATACACTCTGCATGTCCTAAGATAATCCAGAAATTCAAGAATTTACAATTGGAGACAGAAAAAAGTAGCTATGAATATAAGAAAAGTCCTGATTTAAAATGAAATAAGTACTATTATCAATAATTCATGTCTTTATACTATGAGATAATTATGGGACTGTTTTTCTCTCAGAACTAGAGTGAAAATACAATTTAAAAATATTCTTTCAAAAGTAATGTTTCTTTCAAAATTATATCAATATTATTATCTAAGTATTCACAGGTGCACATACTAAATCACTGAAAAATATAATATTCTTACCACAAGTGTACAAGTTTTAGCAGCTGCATCCAAAGCCATTACTTTCCAAGTCTCTTCAATGTTGTCAGGTATAGGTGTATAAATATAAGATAAAAAACTAACACAAAACAGCCCAAAACAGAGAGCTTTGAATCCCATAGTATCCCAGGCTCTTCACAATGCAAGAATTACAATATTTCCATAAATGCTGAATAAAATGTCACAGGGTGAGTATAAACTATGAACTCTCACAGATGACACAACCATTCTCACAGTGTGAGGCTGATTCTCAACTCAAATACACAGTCTCAGTTCTAACTTGTTTTACAAATACACAAACTCTGAAGCAGATGTTGAAATTCATAAGGCCAGGTACCTATCATTAACATGCAATTAAAATTCCCTGAAGTGTTCCTTCATTCTGTGTTACCAATACCAGCAGAGAATAGTTATAGGAAATCAGAGCCCAAGTACAAGCAAGGAACATTCTTCAAATTATCTTTTGTGGCTACATATTTTATAAGAGGCTCATAGGAAGTTACTTGATAGCCAGTCAAAATGTAGGTTAATATTATTACTGAGGATTATTACCTATGTTAACAAACACTGCTTGGTGTGGACCAAGATTTAGACAAAAAGATAGAGGGTGTGGAGACTGTTTCAAGTTCCATCACTCACTAAGCTAGAACCTTAAGCCTGGACCAGAATTACCAGAAAGTTCAGGACAAGTAATTTAGCAAACATTCTGGTTTTTAGAAATTGCATAATATGATGATTCAAATTCATGAGTCAACATGACTTGGATTAGCTGCACAGAGTCATCATAAATATTATCCCTGGGTGTGTCTGTAAGGGTGTTTCCAGAAGACTGATGCTTGAGCTAGTGGCATGGCTCAGAGATGTGGGTGGACATCATCTGATGCATTGAAAGTACAGATAGGAGAAACATATAAAGAAAGTGTTATTTTTTTTCTATTTTTGCTATTCTTGAACAAGCCTAGTTATAACTCTAATCATATTAATGCTCATCTCTTTCTACTGTCTGTACTTGTCCTGTGTTTGTTTTTTAATGCAGGCATTTGAGAATGTTTCCACCCAGTTCCTGTTTTAAAGTGCCCTCACACTGAAATTCTCAACCTCCTTGTGCTGTTAGTTTTGAGCCTGGTGAACTTGCTAGTGTAATTCCTGAGTCCCTGTGCGTAATTATTTCTTCCCATTGAATTAAGTAGTGTCACTCAGTCTCAGGAAGCCTGCCTACCTACACCCCTGAACTTCAACAAAGTAATCTGTTCACATGCCCAACCCTCTACCTCTTACAACCTATTGGCTAAATGAAAGACCAAGTACCTGATGGATACTTGGATACTATATTATTGTTGACCCTATTAAGTATATCACCCCTCTTTTCATAGGACCATCAATTAAATAACCCTAGTTTACTGGTCCTTCATTTAGAAAATCACATAAGAACTCTATATTTCCTATCCTTGGATGTCAAAGTTTTTGGTTTTTAAGAGCCTCTGTCCCTTGAGTCCTCAAGACCTCTAGCTTGTACTGACTTACATCAGTGGCATCTCCTCCTCTCCAACTTGTAAACAGGAGATTGTAGAACTTTGCTACTATAACAGCATCAGATAGTCCAGGAATTTTATATAAATCTCAGGTAACTATGGGGGGTGTGTGTGTTTATTCTATTACAGATTGAAAGCTTGTCTTATACAGAAAGTATCTTATTGAACCATGAGCTTAAGTCAAACCTTCCCCCTTAAATCATTTCTGTTAGATGTTCTGCCACAGCAACAAGTAAAGGATTTAACACAAGGCTCACCAGACAGTGAATCCCACACCCCCACCCCTTTTTGGACTTTTACTCTCTATAGTTGTGAGACACAATTCTTTGTTGTTTGTTTCATAGATGTTGTCCATAATATTTTACCCAAGTGAACTATGACAATCACAAACTACAGTGATATCCCATTATTATTCCACATAAGGATAAATATTAGGTAACAAAAGACGATCAACTATGTATATAGTAGTATTATTTGTAATAGCTACAATGTAAAAGCAACCTAAATGTCCCTCAACTGAAGAATGGATGGAGAAAATGTGGTACATTTACACAATGGAGTACTACTCAACAGAAAAAAAACAACAAAAAAAACCAAAACAAACAAACAAAAAAAATACAAAAACCAATGGAATCTTGAAAATTGCAGACAAATGGCTGGAACTAGAAGATACCATTCAGAGTAAGGTAAGTCAGTCACAAAAAGACAAACTTGGTATGTACACATTCATATATGGATTTTAGACATAGAACTATCAGCCTACAATCCACACCACCAGAAAAAAAAAAAAAACTAGGAAACAAGGAAGACCCTAAAAGAGTCATCCATGGTCCCCAGAGAAGGGGGAAGTGACAAGAGCTCCTGAGCGAATTGAGAGCATGGGAGTAAGGGGGAGGGAGTTAGGAGTAAGAGAAAGGAAGAAGAGGAGGGGAGAAGAGGACATGACAGAGGAGGAAGATTGAGGAAGGGGAAGAATAGAAGAGAGCAAGAAAAGAGATACCATAATAGAGGGAGCCATTATAGGTTTAAAGTAAAATCTGGGCTTGGGAAATGTCCAGAGACCATCAAAGATGATTCAAACTAACAATCTAAGCAATAGTGGAGGGGCTACCTTAAATGCCCTTCCCCAATAATAAGATTGATGACTTTCTTAAATGCCATCCTAGAGCCTTCATTCAGTAGCTGATGGAAGCAGAAGCAGACACCCACAGCTAAACACTGAATCAAACTCCCAGAATCCATCTGCAGAATGGAGGAGTGATGAGCAAAAGGGTCAAGAACAGGCTGGAGAAATCCACAGAAACAGCTGACCTTAACAAGGGGGAGCTAGTGAACCCCAGTCTGGTAGCTGGGAAACCAGCATAGGACCAATCCAGAGACCCTGAAAGTAGGTTTTAGTTAGGATGACAGGGTAGTTTATGGGGCCTCTGTTAGTGGATCAATACTTATTCCTAATATATGAATGTACTTTGGGAGCCCATTCCACATAGAGGGATACTCTCTCAGCCTAGACACATGGGGGATATCTTAGGCCCTGTCCCAAATGATATAACAGACATTGAAGACCAACCATGGAAAGCCTCATCCTCCCTAGAAAACAGAAAGGGAATGGAATGGGGGTTGGGGGACAGGGGAGGAGGGGGGAGGGTAAGGTAACTGGAATTGACATATAAAACAAGCTTGTTTCAAACTAAAAAAGAAATAAAAGGACTGAATTCAGGCAATTGACATGAGTCATGAAATAAAACAGGGTGCAAAGCTTAGTGTTTTTCTAGTTTTAGCACCACCATAGACTTTTTTAGTTTTGGGTGGTAGATAAGTACATAAAATATATTTTATAGTGAAGTGTAAAATCCAACATGAAGGGCCATAGCTTCAGAATGACTGTTCTCTCTTCTACCTGTTCAGAGTACAATGAGTTGCACAGACTTTGGTTCTGATTAACTTCATTCTGTGACATTTCATTGGTTACAATTTCTATGCAATAAAGTTTCAATCAACTATAAAAATGATGGTTAGTAAGATGTTCCTTATGTGGGTAAAGATTCTTTCCTAGAGGCCTGGTGACCTGAAGCCAATCTCCAGATCCCACAAGCTGGCAGTAGAGAAATGATTCCAGAGTTGTTCTCTGACCTTTACATGTGTATATATAAATATGCACACAAACATTTTCACACAAAGACACATACACTCATATAACAAATACATAGATAAAAGTATGAAAGCATTACAAAAATAAAACTCCACCATATATACTCTAGATTAAGCAATGAATGTAAGTCTGTCTGGGTTCTTATTGGCAACTCATGAAAATATAAAGAAAAGAACATGTTAAACTGCAAAAAGAGTGTGCTTCGGTAGCAAACTGTAGACACTTTTAGAAACTAATCAGGTCAATTACAAAGTATGTTCATCAGATAAATTAGAAATGTAGTGTGCCTCTGTTTAAGACATTCAAGATATAACATCCTTTCAACTATGCAAGAATAAGGTAGAATTTTCAGGGATGCATAATGGATGATAATATTATGTAGTAATGTGTAAAGATTTTCCTGTAAAGTCTAGTGGAACAGTCGTATTTGGAAAGGAGACAGCTGTGATTTGATCATAGCCTAGGAAAGACACGTGAGTGGTTGTATATGTTTCATTGGCTCAACCAGTATTTTGTTTTCCAAGCATATTCATAGAATGACAATTTACAACTTATGCATTTGTGTGGTGCATTTTACTATTATTTTTATTTTAAAAGTTTCTAAAATCTATCCAGTTATAACATACCTGGTATGTTGGTATGGGTTAACACATAGTCTTATAAGTGCTCAAGGGATTTCTTGGGAGGGAGGTAGTGAGAATGTAAGAGCTGAAGAATGGGTAAGAGAGCTGTGTAATGCTGTCTTCTGGGAATGGCATGCTATATTACATGCAAAATCACACAACAAATAACCATCCAGCCAAAAATCAAGCACAGAACAGGGAAGGATTTAGGAATGCTCATGTTAGCTAAGGAGCTATGGACAGCTAAGGTCTGAGAGAAGAGTGAGAGTAATTTTTTTCCTTGAGGGTGTGGCTACTAATAGGCTTCTCATTCTCAGTGAATGGCTTGTACATATAGCAAGTGCTAATTGGATCACGGGAGTTATTTTAAAAAGCAAAGAAGGAGGAGGGAGAAGATAAAGGCATATGATTTTGAGGGAGACATATTAGGGAAGGGTTGACTTGGTTGGATGTATTACCTACTACAGCTCTTTGTTTTGTTTTGTTTTGTTTTATTTTTTGCTCTCTGAGTGGCACTGAGAATTTACCCCTTAAGAGGTTGCTCATTTAAAGATCTCTAAAAAAAAAAAAAGATATATTAAACCTGACAGAATTTTAACCAAAACACATAAATACCAGAAACATGAAAATCACTTTCTATAATTAGTAAACTGAAAGACACTGAAGTGTTTGAAAGGATGGACAAAGAATCCTGAAGTATACTTGTAAAACTGACCAATTATTTCAAAGAACATACAAACAAGTTGATGCTCAAAGACGTCAATTGATGACCAAAACAAGATAGGGGCAATATGGATGAGAGAGTCGGCAGTGGAATTCAATTTCTGAACAAAGAAAAAAAAAAGCAAAACAGAAAAAGAAGTAACTAAGCAAAGTGGCATTCTATTATATTCT